ATGCTTGCAGACTACTGCTGGTCTGTGTGTAGGGATGCTCCAGAAGTGTTTTATAAAAGACAAGCTAAACGACAGCGATCTTACAATGAATCGGATGGACTTAATTGAAATTTGGTGGTACAAACTTCTTTTATTTGTCAAAACACTAAGAATAGTGTTTTTTTTTCATTATTTTTGTACTTAAAATATTCTAAAAGAAACATAACAATATTGTTTTATGTACTTTTAGTTTTCACGTATAGTATAACTACTATTTAAGATTAGGTACTGTGTATCTCAAAAACCAGAGCTAATAAAAATTTTTCATTGTTATTTTCGTTTTTATCATCCCAAAATTAGTAGAAATTGACTAATTTAGTGTAGGAAACATTCAAAAAATATTTTTTTGTTGTGTTGTATAATTAAGAAAAACCTAATATATATACAAGTCATCACATACAAATATTAAAAAGTATATTTCACTTAGGAATCAACTTGTTTATTGGCATATGCTTCTTCCGCTATTTGTTTCAGTCTCGATGTAACCGAAGGACCCGTTTCGAGTAACATTTTATGGAAGTGCCCATGTGGTATTTGAAGAAGATTATGGGGATGATCGAATTCCAGTACATGACCGAAGCTCATGACAATTACTTTATCAGAATCCATTATGGTATTCAATCTGTGAGCGATGGTAAGAACGGTACAATCCTTGAACTTTTTTCTAATTGTTGCTTGTATGAAAGAATCAGTTCTGCAAAAATAAGAAAGTAGGTAAAATTAATTCAAGTGTTTATATATGTATCCCAAGGAACAAGAATGTTTATAATAGAAATAAAATTTGAGATAGTTATTGAATAAATAATTTTAAAATGAATACAGCACATATACAGGGCGTTCCAACAAAAACTTGACCCCCCCAGTAAGTCATAAATGGACGTGTAATCGAAAATCTCAAAGAGAACATCAATTTTTATTTTTAGGGGGATTCATTCTGATATGGAAATTATACCCGAAACTTCACCTTTCCTGCGGTCAGCAACTACCCTGTCTATTTTTTTCAATGTCGTGGGAGGTCGAGTTATACATCATTTGAAAGGTCTTTTATTCCTCTATTACTTTGGTAATTTTTTTCGAAATTGGTTCATTCGTTATTGGGAAATTAAATGTCCAACGTTTTATTTGAGAAAAAAAAAAAGAAAATCAACAGAAGTAATATCAATGGCGACACAATCAACGGATAAAGTGTTTAAAATAACCTCCAACTAGTTTCATACAATACAGTCTACTTTTGAAAGCGTTCCTTACATTATTGAAGATGTCCGTAGTCTGAAATCGGCATTCCCGAATAATTATATGTTGCAGGTCTTCTGTTTAACGTATTGATGGCTGATGTTGTGGTCTGGATGATTTTTATTATAAATTCTTGCAGCAGCTTCAACACATTCATTATTTCGATAATAGGTTGCAACAATTTCTATTCTTCCTTCGGTAGAATAAACCATGTTGGAACACAGTGAACAGGGATGACTGAATAATAATTCTTGAAGAAGTAACAGTGGCCAATTATCTATTTTTTTGCGAAACCTAGATTCAACAAAAACTATCAGTCAGTGCTGATCAAATCAATTTATATCATATCAGACAATGGAGGTCCAAACTGATGAAATGCAAACAAAATATTTGGAATACAATTATAAAAATCTATTGTTTGAAGGTGGTTGACAATGTTTCGTGGTGGTTCGGACTTCCATTGTCTTATATAATATAAATTGATTTGAAATCCCTGAAATAATGTGTAGAAACTCAAAAAGATTAATCAAAAAATAACAATTTTCATTAAACAAAAAGCTGAAATTACAAAGAAATAACATACAAGCAACACCAAAAAATAAAAATAGAAATATTAAAATCTATAGGTCCAGAAAATATCGGGTGATTGAAGATATTTTCATTTTCATTCTGCTCTTTCTCAGAGTGGAATAAATGAATGAAGATTTCATTTACTGCTCAGTGGAAATACAGGACAAACATTTTTCGAATTCCTTGTTGAAATTATAGATATCCCAAATAGTTGGGAATCTTATGTTGAAAGATGATACTTCGTTAATCCATCGTGAAAGGGTGACAGCTGTTTAACGAAAAAACATATATTTTTAAAAGATGTACTTCAAGACGCATTCTCGCACTCTGTTTTTATGTGTTACGAAGCATAATAATATTGAGTAAAACATTATGCAGTAACTTCTCAGTTGAAATGGTAATTTAAACTATTGTATAAAACATATCATACAACAGTTACAGTTACTTAATTAGATGATGATGATCATCTCTAGGAAAACAGGTGAATAAAAAAAATATTGAAATACAATGATAGTTCTAGATGAGTAGGTGGATTTTTAACAATGAGTGGTTAATAACGGACAATTCTGGAAATTTTATGAAACCAGATCATTGAATAGTGATTAACCACTTATTGGTCCTTTACTAGAAATGTTGATCATTTGTCAGTTGTTTATCTAGAAGAGTTATTAAGTTTCATCAAATAAGGGGTCACTGTATTTTTTGTTTTCCTGTATTTCCTACCTACTTTTCTTTCGGAATGTATACGACACCACGAATGAGTTTCACATAGAGTAGTACATGAAGAATAGACTTGACAATTAGACCGAAAAAAATGCCAAAGGACATGAAATATTTTATTGAGAATGATTCAGATACCAACTTCCATTTCTGAATTTTTCAGAATATTGAATCACAAGCTATAGCTTCCATAGTTGACTTCAAGTTTGAAGCCTCCGTCACAGGAAAAAACAGTGAATCGTTCAAAGTAACTTCTGAAATATTCATACCTTTCATCTACATTAGCAGTGGCTTCATCCAACACAAGAATCTTGTTATTCCTTAAGATGGCTCGAGCTAGGCAAATGAGCTGTTTCTGCCCCAGACTGAAATTGTTTCCTCCTTCACCAAACATGAAATCCAGAGATGATACTGCCTCTCTGAGCTCCACCTAAATGAAACTAACAGCATGAGTGGAAGGAGAAAGAAAGGAATCAAAGAGCGAAATATTACAACTAAAACAACACTATAACAACCATTCAATTCCTGCCGATGCATAGAACTGAAAATCATTATTGCATTAGAAATGATAATGGTAACGTCAGAAAATGATCTCATCGAATGTTTAACATTATTATGGTTCCGATTCCCTCGGATATTGAATGTTGAATGGACTTCAAAAGAATAATATATCTGGAACAAAAATATGCTCCATACCAAATTCAGAAATACATTTCTGATTAGTGGTTAGAAACACTGTTGAAAGTATAGTTTTTTATGATGCATTCTTACTTCGTCTAAGGCTTTCCACAGTTCATCGTCTTCAAATTCTCCAAATGGATCCAAGTTATATCTCAGAGATTCAGAAAACAGTACTGGTTCTTGAGGTATTATGGAAATATTTTTTCTGAGTTCAATGAGCCCAATAGTTTTAGTATCGACGCCATCAATGAAAATCGATCCTTCAATAGGGGCAAGTCGAAATAGAGCAGTGATAAGTGAAGATTTTCCAGCTCCGGTTCGACCTACGATACCAATCTGGAAAATACAAAGATACTTGTGAATTAATCTCATATCAATCACTTTTTCGATGGTGTAAAATGAAAGACAAATGCCGATAAGAAAGGAACATATTAGTCATTCATCTGAATTTAGTTGATGAAAGTTGAAACTGGAACATCTGGTGTATAATAGTTCCCAAACAAGCCAAACCAGTTGGCGTCTCTAGGAGATGGAGTGAACTTCATCTTCTTTTCAAGAAAAGTGCTTGTTTTGTCTGAGTTCAGTTATTAATATTCCTTATTGAATTGGAATATTGTATTGAAAAGACTCCTTTGTGACTTTTCTCAAACATGACCAGTATTGCACCTAGTCAATCATAGTCATAAGTGAATGCATTCACATTTACCAAACGATGGTTGGAAAATATCTATTCGATGTTTTTATGCAGAAGAACCTTCTATATTGATTTATTGTTGAAAAACATATCCTCATCATCCATGGAAAAAGGACGAGAAGCACACAACAAATATTATCTATCAAACTCAAATTGGGTCTTCGAATGTTTGAATAATTTTTTTTTGCTGTTTGGCCCATATCACAACACAACAAAAAAATATTTTTTGAATGTTTCCTACACTAAATTAGTTAATTTCTACTAATTTTGGGGTGATAAAAACGAAAATAACAATGAAAAATTTTTATTAGCTCTGGTTTTTGAGATACACAGTACTTAATCTTAAAGAGTAGTTATACTATACGTGAAAAGTGAAAGTACATAAAACAATATTGTTATGTTTCTTTTAGAATATTTTAAGTACAAAATTAATAAAAAAAAACATTATTCTTAGTGTTTTGACAAATAAAAGAAGTTTGTACCACCAAATTTCAATTAAGTCCATCCGATTCATTGTAAGATCGCTGTCGTTTAGCTTGTCTTTTATAAAANCACATATATAGCAAAAGCTATCGACAGAATTCACACACTTTCGAGGCATTTCAGATCAGCACTTAAATTAATTTAAAAATCAACTTCACACGATAATTTCAATAGCAACCACGTGCGTACAATTGACAAACTCACATAGGTTATGTTTACTACTTAAGAACAGCTGATGAGAGGGGTGTTATGTAAACAAACATGTGTACCAACTGTTGGTGATGAAATATTTCATTTGTTGAAAACTCAATATACATATATATAATATAATGATACTATATCTTGAAAACAAGAGCTAATATATAATTTTTATGGTCACTTTCGGTTTTAACACGTAGAAATACATTAAAATCATCTAATTTCAACCCCGAAACAAAAACTTTGTTGTGTTGTGATTTGATTCTCCTCTTTTCATAAAATTTACAGAATCTTTCATTTTTCTCAATTTTTGAATGACAAGAATTGAAACTAGAACCAATCTCATATAACATCTCATTTGGCACCTCAATATTTTATGAACCATTTAATGATTTTACCTTCTCTCCTGGTTGAATTACAAAGTTGACATCATTGAGGACTGGAGGATCATTTTCCACATACCTCAAAGACAGGCATTTGAATTGTATGTGTCCTTCAGTTGGCCAGATTTTTGGCAGCAAGGAATCTAAAAAATGTATTATCAATGATGAGAAAGAAAAACGAGTCAAATTTTATGTGAAGTATGAACGAGTGCAGACATCCAGAATAGGTGGTTCCTCAGGTGGTTAATATATATTGAATTGATAGTGTAGGTCTTGTTTATATCAGGTGAAGAGAAATTTATTATGCAATAATATGACACTTTTCTCAATCAGATTCTCTTTATATAACGTCCCGTTTGTTGGATGATGCAATCTAGGATTTGAAAAAAAAATATATCTAATTTCTGTAAATATTTTCTTTTGTTACGACCGGTTTCCATTTATTAAACCATTCTCAAGTAAACTGAAGTCAGTAAACTGGAGCATTCTCAAGTAATCTGCGTCAGTTTACCTGGGGATGATTTAATAAGCCGAAACTGGTAGTAAAAAAATAAAAATCTCAGTAGAAATTAGACAGAAGTTAGTTTCATATGATATGATATGAATTTTCACAAAATGAATAGGTCATCAGTCGAACAAATTAGATGATTCAACTCTTTTCTAAACTGTGAATAAGAAAATTGCCAGAACTAGATCACAGATCTCATTGAAGTATAATTTTCATTATTGGATATTTCTCATTTGATATCACATTAAATACCTTACATAACTGCTGAACTCTATTACAGTAAAGAATTGAAATAAGATTGAAAGAGCAATTATTGAATGATAAAACAGGCACAAATTTAAAGAATGAGTGATTCCAGAACTTATCTAGTATGAAAAAATGAGTACTTGGAAGCCATATTTTTCTACCAGCAAAAGCAACCGCCGACTCCAGGGCGAGGAAGAGTCTAGCAAAATAGGATAGTATGGTAAAACAGAACACCAGACTTTTTTCAATACCACTGTCTCCATCTATGATTTTGGTCCTGATCTAAGTTGACATGTAATAAATCTAGAGATGGACATACACAAAATATCGAAAAAACGTTTCTTCTGTCATGTCAAAACCGTAAATAGTGAATAGTGTGTTTATGATAAATTTGGTCTTTTGCATTTGAAAAGAGTTCTCTGATATTGGTGGAAAAATTATTTGTAGTTGAGATGTTTCAATTAGATTATGAACTTCTCTTAGTGTTTCTGTGTGAATAAACTCGAATAATTTATGTTGTTCATCTTGAAATATATGTTCTTTTCTGTGTCGGGTCGGTCATAACGAGATACTTATGGAGTCCTTTGTATTCGTTTCAATGATCTATACTCCAATTCCAAACCGACAGAGAGGTAAAACTGATATCTTTGCAAGGAGTGACCACATGAAACTTGTGCAGGTATCGACAAAAGAGTTTGCGAAGAATTCACTTGCAAGTTCTGACAAAGGGTCATGAATGTTCAAAATGCAAAGGTGAATTTTTTATTCACTTGACAAAATATTTTCTTCTTGTGTTTACTTTTTGTACTGTACATTTCTTGCACCTTCGAATAGAATTTGTATTTTTAGCAACATTTCCATCATTCAAATAATTTTTTTCAAAGTTGAAAACTATCTCGTTTTACCAGCCATGAATATTTTATTTGACCAGTTCGACAATACAGGACACCCCACCTCCTCTCATATGATTTCATAAAAAGCAAATTCAACAATACTAGTTTATAGTTCAGACCTATGACTTCGTAGGTACGTGTCGCAATTACCCAACGGAAAAAATAACAACTAACCCAGCTAATGCCGCACAGAGAGTTGAAGAGAAACAGTCAGGTACCTGTGCAACGTCTTCGACTTGAAAAGCAGAAATTAATTTCGTTTAGTCGATCCGACCAACCGATAGCCGGTTTCGGGGTGTTTTCCTCATCAATACTACCGGGCATGGTCTCTTTAGAACGGTGTGAACCGTCTGAGTATCACGACCAAACGAATCATCCTAATTTCATCCAGGTTTGGAGACCAGCTCCCCTACCCTTTTGGCTGATTGTTGGCCTTGAGAGGGGCCAATGGGTACACAACTGATAGATGACGGCATGAAGTCCTTAGACATCAGTGTCGCCCTTCACGGGATACCCCTACCTGGCTGGGGTGGGATGGATGAAAAAGTTATTCATCCTTTAACGGGGGACATGAGGGCCTCATTCGACAGAGTGTCGGGGCCTTCTATATCGGGAGGGGTCGTCTACAGCATAATCTGTGGCTTCCCTAACTAAC